CCCCAAAACCCCAAAACCCCAAAACCCCGTATCGTTAATAAATTACTGAATTAATGAATTTTCTATAATTATTATTATTTATAATGCCTACCCAAGATCCCCTCAAAAGGCTCAAGTGAGCCTATGATGAATGTCATAATGATCGACAATACTACTGATTCGATCATAAACTGAGACTGTGTAGTGACTGCTGTGATTCTCTCCATTACAACTGCACAGTGCAAGCTATTCGTTCCAAAGATGAACTCTGGAACGCTGTAGGACTTCTCCATCACTTTGTGGTGTCACTCACTAAGAAGGCCAAGACTTACAGACTCATGGAAAACATCATCGGACTTGCAGACTGCATGAAGCACATCTCTGGCTTGTTTGAAGTGTTCGAGCAAGAAGCCAGGATTGCAATGAAGAAAGATCAGTTCTTGAAGTTTCACTTACTCATTGAAGAAGCAAGAACAATCAAATCTGACATCCTTGGAGGCAACTTTGGAAGAGTCGGAAACTACGAGCAAAGTTCCAACCCAATTCTGAGATTGCTGTTAGACAGCGAGCTGGTGGGACTAACGTACAGCAAGATTGGTGCTGCCCAGAAAAGGTCAATTAGGAAATTGCCAGAATTTGAGGAAACTGTCAGAGAAGTAACCACAGAGTTCAAAGATCATATTGAAGCCAAAACAAAGAATGAAATACAAGAGAAGACAAAAGAGATTGAAGAGAAAACTGAAGCTAAATACCAGAAACAGATCCAAGATCTCCAAGAAGATAGCAAGAACTCAGAAGAAAAAGTCAAAGCTGTTGAAAAGGCAGTGAACGAGCTCAACAACAAGGTCAAGGAACAACAAGACCTGATTGGGAGAGAACAGGTTCAGAAAGAAGACTTTGAGAAGGAGCTCTCTGCTCTTACGATCCAGCATAATCAGCTCAAAATCCTGCACGAAGACCTTCAGAAAACTCTTGAGAAAAATCAAAAAGAATTGGATCAAAGAGAGGGTATTTTGAAGCACGTTAAAGGTCCGCTCTGCGAAGCCATGTACAAGGATATAGTTGGAGAGGCCAAGACTTTTGACTCAAATGCGAAGCTTGAAACACTCATAGGCAATGAACAACATCGAAAATTGATTGGAACTTATGCACAGAACAAAGTTAAACTCCCTGACATCAAGAGAGTTTATATAAATAGCATCAAAGGCATTCCTTTAGAAAGTCTCGACCAGTTCTTGACTCATTCTATTCCTGATCAACTTCCTCTTCTGTGTTTGAACTGGAGTTGGGAAGAGTTATTAGTGGGAGCAAAAGTAATGGATGGACTGAAAGTTAGCTTGCCTAAAATTACAAAAGAAATATTATTTCATTATACTGAATTTCAGCCATCTGATTTAGAGGCTGTTTTTCAAAACTCGAATAATTCTGAAAGGTTGTGTCTTATTGCTTGCAAATTGCATATTAAAGAAAAAATGAACTTTGGAACGAAGCCAACTAAAACAACATACTTAAGTTTTTGGAATTGTGGTGACTCGAGAGTAACAATGGATTGGGGAAGTCATCCAGAAAGATTCGAGAGCATATTAGAAGCCATCAGTAGATCTCCATACAAAAATTCCTTACAAACTCTAAACATTAGGACATCCAATCTCTCTAAGTCCAAAGTAGAAGAAATGTTGTCCAACCAAAGCATGTCTTCCATCCAAGTAATCCAAGAAACTCCTTCCCCACTATCTGACTAACCCATCCAATCTCTAAAGCCCAAACCACCAATCCAATAATCACCAATCAACCATATCTCTTCTCCCCGGGGTTTTGGGGTTTTGGGGTTTTGGGG